AATCAGTTTAATTTTCTATGCAAGTACCCTATTTCCATTCTTCTTGGCTAAGTGGTCCATAACATGTTCAGCTAAAGCAGAAGCGACGCTAGGGTGTTATATTAGGGGGTACCAGACTGGGCCAGAAAAATTTAGGAGGGGTACTTGTTTGCACTTTATTCCTTTTCTTAAACGTCTAATACGCCATCCACCGTGGGACACCCTGTATGTAGGGCTGCAGGGTCGTGCATGCCATTTTGTTTCTGCACTTAAAATATCTTTTTTTAATGAATTGCAAAATGGCTAGCAAAAAGAAATCATTATTTATTTTTATTATTTTGTACAACTTTGATTATTTTTTACAATACGATGCTCCAAAGCTGGATGCATGCCTTTCGGGCTATATAATTATTTCATTTCATTACATAAACATTACTGAACATTGTTTGAACGAGTTTGAAATCACCAAAAGTTTACTAAAAATTTTCACAAGATTTTCCGCTAATTTTCCGGATTTCCCCCACCGAGCGGCGCATGCCATTTATTTTTTACGCTGTTATTTGGATGAAAATTGAATATTCCCATTGGCATGCTATTTCAAAACATTAAAAATCAGCATCATTTTTTTCATCTGCAGGTGACTCTTTGAAGCATTTGCGCTACTGCGGGGTGCATGCCTTTCATTACAAGACTTTCAATACGTTAGTTTTACCTTATGTTTAAATGGCATGCAATTATAGATCACCAAAAACCACAAAAGTTTTTCACAAATGAAAATTCGATTTTCCCTATATAGCGGCTTCGAGCGGCGGTGGAAATCATATTTTTTCTTACTGTTTCTGGGTTACATATCAACCATTAAAAAGGCATGCGGGATAAATCAGTAGGTAAAACCTGTCACGCCCTCCCAATCTTAACCTTTTTTTATCTGATGTCCGTAGAGACATTCAAATATTCATAATTAAGGGGGCAACATCGCTCCCATGCACACGATACAAAATACAGAAATCGGTTTTAGACTACAAAAAAAACCGCACATCAGAATTGGCTGAAATTTGGCATAAACATTCCTTGATCGATTATCTAGAGAATAGTGCAGTTAGATTTTCCATATTTCGAATTTTTTTTTGGCCTATATTGTGAAAATGAACTATTTCCCAAAAATAGAAAAATCCACGGTAAAAATTGAAAAAATAAGAGCACTATTCTGTAGATACTCGATCAAAGAATGTTTATGCCAAATTTCAGCAAATTCTGGAATTGGATCGTGTTTTGTAGGACAAAATGTCATTGAAAAAATAAAAAGCTTCAATAATAATTAAAATTTATTTACAGAAGGTGGAAAGTGCTAAAATTAGAGTTTTTCCTTTGTGTTCTTGCATATTAGTGCAATAATAATATCCACCAATGCAGTAGAGCATTCAATTTAGGTATCTGGCGATTTGCATTTCTTTTACTAGCTCTTGGATCTTCTACCAATATCTGAAATTGTGTTAGACTCCTGGTAAGACTATTTTTTTATTACCTATTCCTCCGAGTATTCCTCTATTTGTAAACCCATTCATGTGCCAATTGCTTCCTGAAAATCTCATAGATAGGTACCTACCACAACTAAACATACCTCAAAAACAAGCTCTACAACAAAACATCACTTTTACAGAGTAGAGCAAAATTTGAAGTCATACCAGGCCAGGCATGGAAATACAAATCCCTCCATAATCCCATTAGCCAATCAGTGCGAACTGAGTGAAAAAAGTTGCAATGATTCTGCAAATTGAAATCGCTATAATATTTAAAATGCTCCACTGTAAAAAAGCTTTCATCTTGGCGCCATCTATAATTTTTTTTAGAACTAAAATATAATTTGAAGGGGGGGCCGTTGAGGCCTTAAGAGAATTTTGCAAAATAGACAGGGATGTTCCAAACTGCACAATTGTGCATATTGATGCACACTTTCAATTTATATGCACAGTATGCACCCCAATCTCTATATATATATATATAAGATATATTATAGATATGCACATTTTGATTTCTAGAATAAATCTGCCACAATTTTTTAGTTAATAAATCGAACACAAAATATTTTGAATTTGGGGTTTCATTTCAGTAAATTTGTACTTAGTATAACTACACTATACTCTTTACATAGTCCCGTACTCTATACATACTCCCTTACTCTACACTCAGTACACGTTACTAACCTGTACGCCACCAAGGATGATACACACTAATACTACAGGATGGCCTATCCTCATAAGGCCTGTGTGGAACAAATGCGCCCTCTCCCCCAAGCCAAATCACCGTTTGTGACGTAAGCGGCATGTTATTTCTCACCTTGACGTAGGCTGTTTAAACAGCTGACGACTAAGTTATGATGTCGAAAATGGTAATACACCAATATGGCGGCGATCACCACCAAAAACAAGGCGGATAAGCAATCCTGTAGGTGTGTATCATCCTTGGTACGCCACTGCCCAGTCGGACCAGTCCAGCCTGCTCGACAATGAAAATACAAAATATTGGCAATCGGAACAGGCAACGTTGTAAGAATAAACATACATATTGCCAACCGGCAACATTGAAAAGCAAAACAAGGGGATGCAAAAGCAAAACAAAGGGCACATTTTGTGTCAGATATGCCCACTTTTTATACTGTCAAGTGCACATTTACAAATTCTCTCGGAACATCCCAGAAAATAGAATTATTCTACATGGTAAAGAGCAAAAATATTTGAAATTAATGTGCGTAATTTGTAATTTGGAGTAGTATTCACCTTTGTACCTGATGGATTGACCCCCGTCAAAATTAGTCAACTTCATCACCGTCTTGCAGTCCTTTCTTTCCATTTAGAACGTCTTGTATTTTCAAAAATGTTATCAATGTGTTCTGTTTTCCCATTAGTACCAGTGCAAGACGGTGTGAAATGATTTCTCACTCCTTCATAAGACAACACATTGACCTCCGTCTTGCAGCCCGTTATCCCTCCACAGGACGTCTTGCACAGACTAACACATGCAAGACGTTTCATGGGGGTTTTGGGGTTGAAATATAAGATGGAAATTGTCAATTTGTGTGAGGAGTGAAATAGCTATTTACCTAACAAGTGCGGAAAATGAATTTTTCCGCACGCGGCTGCCGTTCACCGAACGACGCGTAGCGGAGTTCGGTAATGCAGCCGAGTGCGGAAAAATATTTTCCGCAAGTGTTAGGTACAATATTTTTCCTACATTCGAAAAAATGTAAAATTTTTCTTTTTTTTTGACATATCAGTGCGGTAATAGTATATTACATACCGAGGTGGAAAGTGTTTCATTACTGTCGAGAGATTTAAGTTAGACCGAGGCGCAGCCGAGGTCTAACTGAAATCTCGAGACAGTAATGAAACTTTTCACCGAGGTATGTATACTATTTTATTTACAATCATTCGAATTTTGAAATTTTCATTTGGATTAAAACTAAAAAATACAATAATTAACAATTTCATTTACTTTCGGCCCGTGGGCTGAAAGTAAAAGTCAAAAAATACAATAAATTTTAAAAATTTCATTTACTTTCGGCCCACGGGTCGAAAGTAAAACTTTCGACCCGTGGGCCGAAAGTAAAAGTAAAAAAAGTGACATTTTCGAACTTTTTAAAAGTCAGTAAAGTCAACATTACATGTATGATTGTAAATTTTTTATCTACATCATTTTTATTACTTTTCAATTTGACCTTTTCAATTTAGAAGCCTCCCTCTCTGGCGTCAGACTGTCAGACGCCAAAAGAGTATGAAAAAAATGATTGACAGCTATTGACAGTGGTTTGTTGACAAGACTTTTATAGGTGTGAGAGTGGAAACTATTATTTCCTCGGTTTTTTCAAGGTTTTTTCCTAATAATGGTGATTGTGTGTAGTGTGCTTTTTCGTAAAAATAATTCCTATTCACCGGCGTGTCTTTCCATAAGTTTTTATCAAATCCTACATTTGTCAAAATTTGGATACACAAAATCAGAACGGATACTCGCAAAAGAAAGGGAAATTCACGGCCCATCAAGTTTACAAAGAAGTCCACGTGCAAGTTTAGTTTGCGGAAGCTGTTTGCTTCCCACATTTTTTTTCAAATTTCACCATTCTATGTCGGTCATTGTCATTTTCCATTCACTGAAAAAAGATACCTAACTCATCGGTGGAGTCACCGATTAGAATAAAAACCGGGGGATTGCTAAACTCCCTATACACTTGACATTGACGAGCAAGTAAATATTGCCGGGAATCTGAATGTTTTCATACTTTATCGTCCATCTCTTTTAATTGATAACGTCAATTCCAAAACAGTTCCTCCTTCAGAGCAAGAACTGAGAGAACCGTTCTAGAACAACCCCAGAATTGTTCGGGTTCTAAATAATCCAAAATGCTGTCAAAAGCCGCTTTCCAGCTGTGTGCTTCAAGCACGGTGCAGCACAGTGTTCTGTGTTTGAAACGCAAAAGTTAGCAGCTCTCGAAGCGCGGTACGGCAGGAACACGAACACGCGCTTGAAGCATTTGCGCGCGCAAAAGCTCGATTGAGTGCTTAAAAGCGTTAGCTGGAAAGCGGCTAAAGTTAACACAGTTCGATTACGATTCTGAAAAAACGAAAACGCTTTTTACAACATCTTCTGAGCTGCTCTAGAGCGCCCCGGGCTGTTCATAGGCGTTTCAGTGCTCCTAGAGCTTTGCGCAGCTGCTCTCTTCCGCTTTAAATTTCGACCGCTGTGAATCTGATACAGCGTTCAACTGCTCTGTGCGCTCGCTTGTCATGTGATTACGGCTCCGCTTCAGCACGCTCCATTTTTGAGCAAAATACCAAACGCAAGGTTGGAAACGTTCTTTCTGAGGGGAAAATCACACGTTTTGCTGAATATATGAGTCATGAATCGTGATCTTGAAATCACGATTCTATTTTGTTCCGAAATTCAACCTTTGAAATCGCTTTTTTGACACATTTGAAATTGACATTCATAGCCTCCATTTTTTTTTCAAACGTCAAGTCAATAATTCTCGTGTAGTTTTCCGGGTGTGTGATTTCTTTGAACTGTCCCGTTCTTTTCCAATTAGAAATAGTGAATTATGGCTATTAGCTTGTTAAATCCTAAGGCCGAAGTCGCCAGGGCTGCCCAGGCATTGGCCGTTAACATTTCGGCCGCAAAAGGTATCCAGGAGGTGATGAAATCCAACCTGGGACCCAAGGGGACCATGAAAATGTAAGTGCACATGTTGATATTTTTGCTATTTTTGATAAGTAAAATGGAATAAAACATGATTTGAGACTCATGAAAGGCTTAAGTAAGTCTAAAATTTTATAATCCTTTAATTTATTTTGGATATTACTTTGTTGGGCCCGTAAAGTTAGAATTTATTTTGTACAGGTTGGTATCGGGAGCTGGCGACATCAAAATCACCAAAGACGGCAACATCTTACTTCACGAAATGCAAATTCAACACCCCACTGCATCCTTAATTGCCAGAGCTTCAACTGCCCAAGATGATATGACTGGTAATACCTACTGCAATATTTATATCATATCTTATACCAAATTCACCATTGAAATTGCTCAGGTGATGGTACTACATCCACTGTTCTCCTGATTGGTGAACTCTTGAAGCAGGCAGACATCTACATTGCAGAAGGCCTCCATCCGAGACTTCTTGCTGAGGGCTTTGATAAAGCTAAGACCAAAGCTTTAGAAGTCCTGGACAAAATCAAGATCCCCATTGAAATCAATAGAGAAAATTTATTGGATGTTTGCAGGACTAGTCTAAGGACAAAGGTAATTAAATTACTGTTTGCATAATAAAATTACATAGACTCTTTAATCCAAATTCACCTTAATCCGAAGATCCACTGATCCGGCCTGACGAATGGCTATTCTTCACTAACTATTAAAATGTATCTACATTTCATTAATTTTTGAAAAGTTTTCTTTTTTATTTTTAATAAGTTATTTTACCTACCTATTATATGTTGCATTTTATATTGTTAAAAATGTCTTTAATTGATAGGTTCATCAAACTTTGGCTGATGTCCTTACAGAAGTTTGTGTCGAAGCAGTCTTAGCGATAAGACCCAAAGACAACAAACCTGTTGATTTGCATATGGTTGAATTAATGCAAATGCAACACAAAACCGAGACTGATTCATCATTAATCAAAGGTTTGGTACTTGATCATGGATCCCGTCATCCAGACATGCCAAAACGTCTGGAAAATTGCTACATTTTAACTTGCAATGTGAGTTTGGAATATGAAAAGAGTGAAGTCAATTCTGGCTTTTTCTACAAAACTGCTGAGGAGAGAGACAAGATGGTTCTTGCTGAACGTGAGTTTATTGATCAGAGAGTCAAGAAAGTCATTGAGTTGAAGAAAAAAATTTGCACTGGTACCAATAAGACTTTTGTTATCATCAACCAGAAAGGAATTGATCCTATGAGCTTGGATCAATTAGCAAAGGAAGGTATTATAGCCTTAAGAAGAGCCAAAAGGCGAAACATGGAACGTTTATCTTTGGCTTGTGGTGGTACTGCCATGAATACTTTTGATGACTTGAGCGAGTCTTGTCTTGGATATGCTGGCCTAGTTTATGAACATGTCCTTGGTGAAACTAAGTTTACTTTTGTTGAGGAGTGCAAGAACCCTCAATCTGTTACTATTTTATTGAAAGGCCCCAATAAACATTCTTTGCAACAAATCAAAGATGCTATTAGAGATGGTTTGAGAGCTATCAATAATGCTATTGAAGATAAAGCTGTAATTCCAGGTAATATTTTGTTATCAATTTTTTTCTTTTTGAAGATTAACTGGAACTTTGCTTTAGGTGCTGGCGCCTTCGAAATTGCTGCCAACAAAGAACTTCTTCAGTGGAAAGACACTGTTAAAGGCAAGACTAGGTTGGGGGTAGTTGCGTATGCTGAAGCTCTGCTGGTTATTCCCAAGATTCTGGCTACAAATTCTGGATTTGATGTCCAAGAAACCATTGTCAAACTTCAAGAAGAAAGCCACACAAGTCCCGAGCCAATTGGCTTAGATCTGACTTCCGGAGAGCCAATTTCTCCAAAAGATGCTGGAATTTTTGACAATTACATTGTTAAAAAACAAATAATTAATTCTTGTTCAGTCATAGCCAGTAATTTATTGTTGGTGGATGAAATTATGAGGGCTGGAATGAGTAGCCTAAAGGGCTAGTTCATTTTTTCAATGTACTTCACATTTTTCAGTATCATTTTAACTTTTAATTAGCTTTGTTAACCTAACTCACAAATTATTTTTGAGCTGATAATATTATTCTAACTTTTTTAATTAATAATTTGAACATTTTTAACTTTATTTGCGTTTTATTTGAAAGTTTGGGATAGATTTTTATTAGCCTTTGAGCAAGTGAGGAAATGATTACCCTGATTCACACATATAGGTTTGTTCCAACCCGGCAGGGAACTGTACATTTCATCATCAGGATTCTGGGCAGAACATAAAATTTGTGGGTAGAATCCGAAATGTGTATACAGACTGGTTTCGAAACCATTCTTGGGATGGTTTTTTTGGTGGGTTTGAACAGACCTATAGTAGTAGTTTAGTGAACTTCTTTTGGATGTCAGTTGTGATTTAGAAATGTAAAGTGACCAAACTGAAAGTGCTTGTTTACTGCACATGTCTACATAGTTCTCCAGTATGGGTATACATACCTACTGGCATCTAAGTTAAATTTGAAGTCATTAACACAGGTAAAAAAATTCCAAAATTCTTATGTCTGTCAAGTCTTGGGTGCCTATTTAAATTATGATTTTAGATCTCCTTCTTTTTGTCATTTTGCAATCTCATAGTTAGACCTGAAATTTGTAATAATTGCTACATGCGTCGATAAACATTTTATTTTATAGTGGAATGCAATTGGTTATAGCCAGCATTACCTAGAGAAATGAGTTATAATAATAATATTACTTTATTTGAAACTAAAACACTAACAGAAAGAAAAAAACTATGTATGCACCTAACATCTACAAAATCCCAAGAAATCATTCAGGGAAATCATAATTTCTTCTTCTGCCTAGCTTTCTCCAGTTCCATCTGCATAGCCTGTTGGTCCTGAGCTTGGGTAAGCCTTTCCATAAGTTCATGATTGTAAGTGCTATGCAGCATTAACGCCAGAACGCCGGATCTATTGCCCATGCTGGTTTTAATTTGACGTTCTTTTTCCAATAACTCATCGATTTTTAACCATTGTCTTACTCTTTCAAGATCCACTTCGGCTCTTCTCAATTTTTCCCAAACGTAGTGTTTGGTGCAAGATTTTTTCGGTGCTCTGCACAATTTACCAGTGAGCGAAAACACATTTGAAACCAATGGACAACCACACGCCTCATTGTCACCGATTTTTGGATCTTTGCAATGCTCGGGGCATAAAACTCTCAATCGTTTGCAATAAGTATGATTTAGGGGATTGTAAAAGTCACAAAACATATTGTTGCCTTCGATTCTTGTTTTGAAAACTCCACCAAATGATGATTGAGACTCGTATTTGTTAAAGCACTTCTCCATATGCCTGATAGCGGTTTTGGAATGGATTTCATGGCCGCAAGTTACACAATACATGGAGCTTTCTTCGTCCTTTTCAACATCATTCTCCCATTCAGGATCAATTGTTGTGTTTTTTGCTCTTTCAACAATATTATCAATCTCACGGTGTCGTTTGTCCAGTACTTGCAACATTTGTCGGGCTTCTTGTTGCTGTTTTCTCACTTGCTCCAAAGCTGAAAAAAAAAACACAAAATTTAATTTAAATAATATATTGTAACATTTCACAAATTTGCCCAGTATTATCAATTTACAATTTGGTTGTTGGATATACATAGATCTTTCAGAAAAGTGATCATCGCCAATATTATTGGAGACGTGCACAAAGTTTCTACCAAAAAATCATACTGCAAACTTAAAATAAAAGAGAATGTATGTATTTATTTATTCACCTTTCAAGTTAATTTCTTCTGCAACACATGGACTTAAAGAAGCTTCCTGCAAACGTTGGGGTAACACTTGAAGAATCCTTGTTTTTGCTAGGTTCATTCCACACATATCAGAACAATATTTTGAACCAAATCTTGCGCTTTTTATGCATTTAGGACCGTAACATTGCCGGGGGTAGTCAGTTTTGAGATGTTCATTAAATGATTGGTCATGGTCTGAGACAGATTCTTTACGTTTACGGCGGGTGCTTGAAACAAATAATTTTTGAAAATGTTAAAAAAATTAATTATTTATATATTACTAGTCTTTTTTCACATAACTATAATAGGTGCTTAATAGACTCTTTTCTAATGTGTAACAGTAAATAGCTATTTATACAATAAGTTACGAAATGAGCGTCTTTTAGGCACGCGACGTGAAAATTGTCCAACGAGGCAAAGCCGAGTTGGACAACACGTCGAGTGACTAAAAGACATCGTTTCGTAACGTATTGTATACAAGATTTTTTCTACTGGCATTTTATAATAAAAAAACACAATTTTATTTCATGTGAATAAGTCGATTACACCCAAAATCTTTGTTACCTGCTTTTACTTGACACCTGACACTTTTCATGCGATTTTCTTTTCAAAATTCGACATCAATAATTAAAATCCTAGAAAGTAGGTAATAACACAAAGTTCTGTTTTGAGTAACCCAAACGTTCAATTCAGTAATTCCATTTTCAATATTCATAATAAATACAAAACAAAATTCAAATATGTGTTTAGTGTGTTTTTTATTTCTGAATAATGAATGACACTTTTAGGCACTAGTGCTTAAAAATTACTTTTACGCACTCATAAGTCACTTTTACGCATTCAAAAGTCACTTTTACGCACTGAGTGCCTAAAAGTAACTTTCACGCACTCAGTGCCTAAAAGAATGTCGTTTCAAAACTGAAATGACAATCGAAAAGTTGCTATTATGAAACGTCAGTAGAAAAAGTAATTTTTTCAGTTTAGAAAGTACACAGGCTATAGTTATAAATTATTGTAATATAAAATGGGCAATGGCATAACTTACCCACCAAATCCGCCAGTCAAAGCATTGACACACATCCTCTGTTTGCATCTCTCTCTATTTTTTGATGAACCATGTTTCCTCTTTCTAACACAAACGTCGCATCTTTCACAGTCTTCGGTTCGATAACATCCCATACATTCACCACATTTTTTTGATTTTTTATCTGATTTACCTGCAAATTACATTGAAAAACCCATGAACAAATTATGTATGTAGATATGTATTACTTTTTGATTTCTCCTCCCTGCTGGTCCTGTTCCTTCCTTCTCCCTCATATTTTTGTCTATGTTTTTTGGACCTTTTTTCTTCATGTGAAGCTGATTCGTCTCTTTCACGTTTTGTCCTCCATTTGGTCATCAATGTGGGATCTTCAGCATGACAGCGGACGCAGAAGTATTGCCTTATCAGTTTTGCATCTTTTTCGGATATTTTTATACAATCTCCATGATACCTAATAAAATAATTGCATCACAAAAATTCAGTTAATCTAGATGCAGTAACTTGTTTGCATTCTAAGCCACACAGTAAAACTTGAAATTCCATTATTATAACTAAGCACGAATACCTAATAATAAACTTTGCATGAAATCTAGAAAGAGTAATATTCAAATATGAAACCAAACAAGAAAACTTGAAGAAGTAGTCCATCTCTCAAAGTGGAGTTGAAATTTAATTCAAAAAAAAACAAGTCTGTATCCACAAATACTTTTATAAATTGAAGAGCCATACATGTTTCAAGACTATGTATATGTATAATCTCATCATTGGGGGCAAATCAGCTCAAATGTTGAAAAAAGAGGTCTCCACTAGCATGTATCTGCAACAGATACATATAGGAAATGGCTTTTACTTTAGTGTACATACTTGAAATCAGCAAAACCTTTCCCATTTTTGAAAAATGTCAACAGGCTGAGATATCAAACTACAGACCAATCTCCCTAATACCAGCCTTCTCAAAGATCTCTGAAGCCATTTTTGAGCATCAGCTATATGAATACTTTGAGACGGACGAGGCAGTTGAGGAGATAGGTCTGTTCTGACAGAGCTAATGAGTGGTTTGTCTTGAACCGACCAACGGCGAACCAATAACTCAAAGTTAACTTCTGGAACTGAGAAATGACGTCATTACAGAAGTTAATATTATGTATTTACTTTGATTATGGAAGTACAGTATTTGAATAGCAGATATGATAAGTTTACTGACTATTTAATATGAAATTATAATTGTGCTTTTACTTTGCTCAGGATCAATATAAGAAAAATGCTGAGTAGATGAAGCACCTACAACATTATCTCTTGTAGTATTTTCGGTGTCCAGAGTTTGCTTTGCCTCTGGAACATAACAAACGTTAGGCTGTGATACTGGACACTCAACTTTAGTTGAAGCAATATGGTTTATATGTCTTCTGATTATTCTGTCTTCCATTTCAATCAAATAAATAAGATTGCTCTCTCTCTTCAAAATTCTACCAAATTTCCATAGACAATTTTTCCTACTATCAAAATGTCTCACTCGAACGCTTTCGCCCACCATAAATTTAGAAGATGCTTGATTTGCCACCTCAATGGGTTTTTGAAATCTAACTAAATCTAATTTAGTTCGTATGTCTCTCCCATACATTAATTGAGAAGGTGACTGATTATTTGAAGTGTGGGGTATTTTTCTGTATTGCATTAAAAAATTTTGAAGTTTCAAATCAAGATCTCCTGGGTCATCTACCATCTTCTTTAGAGTATTCTTCATGGTTCCCACATATCTTTCAACTTGGCCATTTGATGCGGGATGATATGGTGCAGTAAATTTATGTATAATTCCATTGGTTTTTAGGAAATTCTTAAATTCCTGTGATGTAAAAGATCCTCCATTATCACTAACCAAAGTTACAGGTAAGCCAAAACGTGCAAAAACACCTCGTAAAATTGAAATCGTCTTCAAAGTATTCATGGACTTGGTAATAAAAATTTCAGGCCATTTAGAATATGCATCGCAAATTACCAAAAAGTATGTTCCTTGAAACGGTCCCGCAAAATCAATATGTACGCGCTGCCACGGTCCTTTCGGAGTTTCCCAACAATGCGGTGGAATATTAGTTTTGTTGTGTAACATAGATTGACAACTTTGACATTTCTTAGCCAATTCTTCAATATCAAGATCTATTCTTGGCCACCAAACGAAAGAACGTGCAAGTGATTTCATTCTCACTATACCGGTATGTGCTTCATGTAATTCTTTTAATACTCTTTGACGAAGCGTTTTGGGCACAACAATACGTGAATCTTTTACTATAGTACCTTCGTTTAAAGAAAATTCTATATCTTTCCCTTTAAATTCATTTTCTTCAATTTTCTTTCCAGTTTGTAAACTTTTGTAAACATTTCTTAATATTGGGTCTTCTTGTGTTTCATTAGCAATTTCTCTATGCGTAACTGGTAACGTTAGAATTTGTTGTAACTGATGAATTGTAACGCCATCCATTGTTTGATTGAAAACTGGAGTGATTTTTTGAGGCAATCTCGAGAGTGCATCAGCATTTAAGTGTTTTTCGCTAGAACGATAAATAATGTCATAATTAAAGCCTTGCAAAAATTGAGCGTAATGAAGCATTCGAGTAGCTACCATACTGGGAAGATTTTTGTTTGGATTAAATATAGAAACTAGAGGTTGATGATCAGTAATCAGCGTGAATTTTCTTCCATAACAATACTGAAAAAATTTATTACATGCCCAAAAAATAGCAGTTGCTTCCTTATCAATTTGACTGTAGTTTTTTTCAGCTCTCGTTAGACTCCTTGAAGCAAAAACAATAGGACGTTCACCATCAGGAAAAATATGAGATAATACTGCACCCAAACCTTTAGGACTAGCATCGGTTGCCAAAATTAAAGGTAGTTTCGGATTATATGCGCAAAGAATCTGATCAGATGTTATTTCCTTTTTAATTAAATTAAAAGCCTGATCACAGATAGATGTCCATCGGAAAATAACATTCTTTTGTAAAAGTTTGTACAAAGGATGTATTTTTGAAGAAAGATCTTTCAGAAATCTTCCATAGTAAGTGACCAATCCTAACCAACTTTTTAACTCAGTGACATTTGTCGGTACTGGTGCGTTCTTGACAGCTTTTATTTTGTCTTCAGTTTTCTCTAAACCCCTGCTTGAAATTTTATGACCCAAATATGTTATGGATTCTTCGAAGAATTTACATTTTTCTTGTTTAATATGAAGACCAGCTTCTTGTAGACATTGTAAAACAGTTCTTACTCTATTCACATTCTCTTGTAATGTAGCTCCTTGTATTTTGATATCATCTAAAAACACACAAACTCCGGGTATTTTATCCAATAGGTTTGAAATGTAACGTTGCCAAATAGCAGGAGCAACTTTGGTTCCAAACATCAATCTATGTACCTTATAATCTCCCTTTTCCGTAGTAATTGCTTGCATTCTTGAACTTTCTTCATCCATTGGCATATGTAAATAAGCTTCGCGAATATCCAAAGTAGTAAAAATTTTCCCTCCGTGCATTGTAGTCGCAAAAATATCTTCTATGTTTGGAATCGGAAATTTATCATTTATTAAAACTTTGTTCAATGTAATTTTGAAATCCGCGCAAAGTCTTACAGAACCGTCACTTTTCATAATTGGTACAACCGGTGTGCCCCATTCACTGTATTCCATTTTAGTTAACACTCCTATTTCTTCTAGTCTATCGATTTCTCTTTCCACTTTTTCCTTCAATGCATAGGGAACTTTTCGAGCAGGAACATAAATTGGTTTTGTATTGTTTGGTAAAAATAATTTAGCTTTATAATTTGAAATTTTTCCAAGACCTGGTTTAAAAACTTCTGGAAAATTATTTTTAAGTTCTTCTATAATTTTTAATTTCAAGAAATCTGGGATATTTTCATTTTGTAATTGACAAATTTCAGGTAAATCGACTTTAATTTTCTGCGTCCATTCTCTCCCGAAAATAGGTTCAACTTTCCCTGGTAAAATATATAAATTTAGTAATTCAATTTGATTATTTAATTCAACCTGGAAAGTTGAATAGCCGATAGGTCGAATTATTTCTCCAGTGTAAGTTCTTAAAGGTAAATTTGTTTCTTGCAATGTTTTTTTTGAAAATTTTGCGTTAAACAAATCTTGTGAAATCGATGAAACTGCAGCGCCTGTATCATATTCAAATTTAATGGATTCTCCATCTAATTGAAGATTTAAAAGAATTTTGCCTGGTTTTTTATAAGCCTCAGGTAAGCAATTATTATCTAGTACGTTCATAAAAAATAATTCTTCATGCTGAAAGTTGTTTTCCATTTCCTCTGGTTCTTCTTCCACTTGATGAACATTTTCTCTCCTAGGAGTTCCCCTGCATGCCTTAAACACGTGACCATATTTTAGACATCCTGTACACTTTGAATTTTTGTGCTTGCATGTATTTGCCAAATGTTGTGGATCACCGCATCTGTAGCACTTTCGTTGAAAATTTAACAAATTCGAAGGAGATATGTTTTTTTGTTGTTGTTCAGGTTTAAATGAAAATTTTTTAATTTGATTTTGAAAAGAAGTACTCGCACATGTTTGTAAAGAATGTATTTCTCTGGAATCTTTTTGTGCTAATTCCATAGTTAGTGCTGTATCAACGCAGTTTTTAAATTTATTATCTGGTTCTTTAAGTTGAATTAGTCTTTCAATTAAATTAGAATTTCGCAGACCACTAATGAACTGAAGACGTAAATGGGCATCAGACGTCGAAGCTTTGCAAGCATCACAGACAAACTTACAATTTGTCGTCATCTTTTTTAATTCAGTTACGTAATTTGCAATAGTTTCCCCTTCTTGTTGGACACGTTTTGTAAAACGGTTTTGCTCTGCGATTATACTTGAAGAAGGATCAAGATGGTTTTGTAAAAGAGAAACCAAAGTCGTATAATCTTTAGATTTAGGATCATCGGGACATGTTAAAGAGTGAATAAGTTGTAGCGTTTTGGTACCCATCGTGTGAAGTAACCATTCTTTCTTTTTAGTATCAATATAGTCTGCGGAACCAATGAAGTTCTTCATGGAAAAAAAATTGTCTAACCTTTTTATGAACATCTCCCAACTTTCATTTTCTTCTGAGAATGGATCTATTGAAATGGATTCTTGAGTAATTGGAGTAGTATTTTGATTAACTTGTAGAGTCTTTGTAAGTGCAGCCATCAAAGTATTAAATTGTTCAGCATTCATTGTAAAAGGGTTTCTTCGTCCTCGTCGCCAATTTATTATGTATTTACTTTGATTATGGAAGTACAGTATTTGAATAGCAGATATGATAAGTTTACTGACTATTTAATATGAACTTTATTTTCACATACTCTGACACAATGACATACAACAATTAACTGGTAAAGGTGAACAATATAATTTAGTGCATAGTGGACACTACAGTTAACTTTTAGTTATTTTGTCAAAATAAAATAGTTTTTATACCCGCCCTTAGAGGGTCCCAAGTGAACACCAGTTTTCCATGTATCAATAATTGTCAACTACTTGCTGTCAAAGTAAATAAGTGAGTTTTTGAGAAAAAATTCAAATAAAAGATGTGGTACGACATTATACCTTCTGTCGCGATCATAGCGTTTTGTCTGGGCTTTCCTCAGTATTCCGCTTATGCACTGAACTGGATGATAATAAAAGGACATATATACCGTAGAAGGTTAATTTCCCAGGAGTACAAGGATCAGTATTTGAGAGACTGGAGACTTACTGGGCACGTTTACATACTCGCTGGCTTGGAAAATATTCCAGACGAAGAATCCCCTAAAGAAACTCCTGTAGATGTGCATCATGAAGAAGATAATGAAAAAGAAAATGAAGTTGAGGAAGAGGATTAGATCATAATTATTTGAGCTTGTGTGTGTAATTAATAAATGAATTGTTTATATAGATGAGTTACTCATTTGTAGAATCAAATAAAATTCCTAAATCTATGGTTAACCCATACACATGTTGAACCAAATCCAAGCGGCAGTAAATGACAAGTAAATAGCCCAGGAAACAAAGGTGTTACTAGACAAAATCAATGGTAGTCAGGTTTTAATTTTTTTCCGATAGATTTTGGGGCGCTGATTACGAATCTGGTATATTCTGAAATGAAATTCACCAGGATCACCCCGTTTACAGCCCCCAAAGAGGGTAGTTCTTGTTTTGTTTGCAAATGTAGCCCTTCCAGTGCGTTGTACACAAAAAAACGTTTATGGTAAATTATAGAGGACTATATTCCCTACAATTTCTTAAGCGACAGCATAGGTCCATCACCTACCCTCTAACTACTTTATATGACAGTTTCTATTTTTTTGCGGGGGGTTGCAGGGAGGAAGTGGGGGTACAATATAGGAATTTTTGAATAGAAACCCTACATGAATAATCTCTGAAAATTTGAACATGCTTGCATTAGCCGTTCAGTTAATACAGTGTGCGTTTTAAAGTTGGGTACATATGGGAAAATTCTTAATTATTCCTTTTTTCAAAATTTTTTTTTTGGGGATCATTTAGGCATGTTCAATAACCAAAAAATCGATTATGACACATGTCAATGTGATTATCGGTTTAGCGGGAATTTTGGAAAAAGTTGATATTGATGTGGAAAAACGGGTAAATTTGGCAAGATATCAAAAAATTTTATAAAGAAAAAGTTGTTCAGAATCGAAGAGAACTTCACTTGCCGATTTTGAAGCAAATCAGAGAAAAAAATAAAACTAAGTACTTATTTTACCCACACCATTAAATGGAAAATCGAAAATATTAATTTTATTTCAAAAATAGCTTTATTCAACTAAACTACATTAGTTTAATATAAAACGGATCGATTGTTTTGCGAAATACATACTTGAAGGTCATAAATTAGAAAATACCGTCCGGTCATGTCGCTTTAACTGTACCCATGTCCCTTTTTGCACATTTTCTGGTCATCATGGGTCATCAGAAAAATAATATGACATGTGTCATAAATCGATTTTTTGGTTATCGAACATGCCCTAACGATCTCCAAATAGTTATTTTTGTTACAAGTACCTAAAATGAAGTTTTTCAAGACGAATCATTGCTGTTTCCGGACGAGGCGTTAGCCGAGTCCGGAATAGCAGATGAGTCCTGAAAAACTTCTTTAGGTACGTGTGACGAACACTATTTTTTGTCATACGCTTTCTAGAATTCTTCAGAACGCTAAAATTTGCAAATTTTCCCTAATTTTTGAAATCATAAAGGTGCATCCAGAAAGAAAAAAAAAATCCTAAAAAGAAGCATTTTACGGACTTAAATGAGTCCGTAAAATAGCTGTTTTTGGGAGCGTATGACAAAAAAAAGTTTTTTAATAGGGAACTTGCAAGGGAAATAAAATTCTCCAAATTTGATTTAAATCGATACTTTATATTGTACAATATCCATATGACCAGTTTTCATTTAACTAATACCGCCCTTGTTACTCAAAAAATAATACTTAATTTGAATTCCCGCCAAAACAATGCTTCCATGATGGCCCCTTTTTTTGACGTCACGATTCTGTAAACAAGCTTGTCAAGAGGGAACTCGCAAGTGAAATTAAATTCCAAAAGTAGTCCTCCACAATATTCTTCATCCATCGCGACAATTTTCACAAAAAGGAAGCTTTTCCACTTATAAATAACACAAAAATAGCACTGTGTAAGCAGGAGTTCATTTGCTGCATTTGTTGTTTACAAAATATTGATGTCACAAGTGCTGTCAGATTGAAACCTCGCGTTTTCGCGCCAAAGTTTTTGATTTGAATTTCAATAATTTTTTTTTCGTACAACGTATAAATTAAAATGGAAAAAGATTGAACCATGTAATATCTGATCGCTAGAAGTATCTAAAAAAAAATAAATTGAGAAATATGAAAATTCCCTATTAAGAATTTTCCCATATGTACCCAACTTTATGGCGCACACTGTATAAAGGTGTGTTTTTTAGGGGATGAAACCCCGTATTTTAAAAATGCGCAATAGCCCATTTATAAAAAATCAGTCATACACCTGTGATAAATAGCCACAGGTTTTCAGTTCGATTCGCATTTGTATTGACGGAGAAAAAATTGTTTTGCAGAAGCAAGTTTTTTCAAAAGTAGTCAACTTTGGGGCGCCACCCCCGCTATGGGGTAGGTGATGGACTTATGGTGTCGCTGAAGAAATTCTAGGGAATATAATCCTCTATAATCTACCATAAACCTCGCCATATACGTTTTTTTGTGTACAACACACTGGAAGGGCTACGTTTGCAAAAAAACAAAAAATACTCCCTTTAGAGGCCGTAAACGAGGTGATCCCGGTGAATTTTTTTTGGGAATATGCCGGATTTGTAATCAGCGCTCCAAAATCTATGGGAAAAAAATAAAACCCGACTACCATCGATTTTGTTTGGTAACACCTTTGTTTCCTGGGCTATAACATACTCCTTAAAACGATACCTTCTTGGAATGCAGATACACCGCATTTTATGACCAATAACTAAGTAGCATTTGTTTATGTTTTCAATATTGTTCTATCTTCGAAAAAAATTAAGTATAGGTTCTCTAATTTAACTAGTTAAAAAGGTAGAATTATCTGTCACAGATATGAAGAATACCAGTATACATCTAATTATAGTAATATAATGTCTATTTACCATTCTTCACAAGAATCACAGGCAATCATAAATCTGGAAGAATCTGAAGATCTGCATATGCAGTAAGCTTGCCCATCTTGTCTCAATAGACTATCGATTTTAGATTGTCTTTCAGGGAGAACGAATTGCTTTGCAATTGCTTCCCGCTGAAAATTAAAAAACTCTATTAAAAAGATTTAACAAAAATAATATTGTAAATTATTGTAAAGGTAAAATATAATTTCTATTGGAAAGTGAAACAAGTATATTATTATCTAGGGTCTCCAATAAATGCTTACCGTGATGTCTTTTCGTTTTCTAGACATTTTTCAATATTATATCAATGAGCTTGATTTAAATCTCAATACCAAATACTATTTTACACAAATATATAAAATTAAATACAAATTAAAAAATCAAAACATAAATTCTTGTTTTGATAGAGATGAGAACTACCTTGACAGGAGACACGTTCGACTAATGACAGTATTGACAGTTGCCATTTATCAGCGTTGGAGGAGTTTTCAGATTGAAATCGGGCAGTTTGATATACACCTTGCGTTCGGTAGTTTGCTCAAAGAGCAGAGCGACCAGAGCGTGCTGAAACGGAGCAGTAATCACGTGACCAGCAAGTGCACAGAGCAGTTAAGCGCTGCATCAATCCGTGCGTTCGGTATTATGATCCGATTTATCCGAGCTTGAATTTACCGTTCGCTTATTAAAGAAGTGTGCTGGGTGCATGCTCATTGGCGTTAGTTTATTATTAAATTTGAAAGGGCTATGTGCGTTCGCTGGTCACGTGACTCCACTCTGCACGCTCTGCTCTTTGAGCAAAATACCGAAAGCATGGATAGCCCTTTTAAGAAAGTCCGTTTTTTTTTTTAAAAAGGTAAAAGTCAAAATGACATTATAGCCGCTTTCCAGCTGTATGCTTCAAGCACGGTGCAGCACAGTGTTCTGTGTTTGAAACACAAAAGTTAGCAGCTCTCGAAGCGCAGTACGGCTGGAACACGAGCCGCTTTCCAGTATGCACATTGGCGCGCTCTAGAGCACCTCGGGGGCGCCACGCACTAGATTTGTACCGTACCAGTATCATGGCGTGAGACGCCTGTCTTAGTGTCAAATATGTCAAATTTTAAAAATAATTATCTGCTAGGGGATTCCATTTGCTATCGAGATCACGAAATCGAATCGCTTTCGTACTCGATACCAAATACTATCGAGCAATCCGGAATTCCCATTCGAAATCGTATTCACCAACGGATAGGTCGGTATCGAAATTTCGAAATCCGTAGCATTCAAGCGCATTTAGATAGAGAAGTGCCGCCAAACTTTAAAAAATAATAAAAATCGTCACTTGTAGCAGTTTGTTAGAAGTTGGTTGTTCTTTTGTTAATTTTCTTGAGTTTTTTTATTTGACTTCAACAGATAGATTTGCACAGTGCAAATTGCACTGTCGTATTTATTACTTTTTTTCTCACTATTGTGGCGGCCACTCATAAGGCTAGGTAATTAGAATTTTCAGTCAGGTACCAATGATGAGTAGGTTAAGTAGATACCACTTTATATGTTTACTTTCAAATTGTTTATTGAAATTTACTTTATGTAGGTAGGTACTAATAGATATAGTGTCTTTAAAGATCAAACTGAAAAATGCTCCTAATATTATTCACAATCGTCTACAATAGGAATTGCTCGACGAGAAAGAAATAGACGATTGATAATGATTGCTAGAAATATTTAAGTAATTTTCTGGCTGAAGGGATATACCATAATTCAGTCCCTAATTTTATTAAAATCTTTGCAACGCTGAGGTTCTGTGCAGGGTTGCCAGATGGTTATAACTAATTTCCCCCAAAGGATTTCAAAGATACCCCAAAAATCACTGTTTGTCAACTAAAATCCCCCAAATAAATATAGATTTATTCTCGACTCATACTTGCAAAAAAAAAGACAAATTCGTTGAATATTTTAAAATAAAACTCATACCCTTACCACTTTTTTATTTGTTTATATTTTTCTAATCCCAAAAATAAAATGACAATTGACAAATGAAATAAAATGTTGTGACTGGTGACAGAACAGATAAGTACAGTTGTACCAAGAAGTTTGGATTGTGTAAAAAATAATCTCAAAACCACACCAAACGCTTTTGTTGCATACTGCCATAGCAGCCATGTTGGCTTTTTGTGCTTTGGAGGGATTTCATGCCCTTATTCGTTTTATCTAAAAAAATCCGCAAAAAATCCTCTGAATTACGAAATCCGAAAAAAATCCGATCGTCCAAAAAAAATCCGCAAATCGGATTAAAATCCGCCCATTGGCAACACTGGAGAAGAAGCAAACTGTATCTTTTTTATTGGTACTTGATTGAAAAAATAGATGGTGCAGTTGTTTTAATACATTTTTTACTTTAGTTTTATTATATGCTCCTGCACTTCGTCCTCTAGATCAATAATATTCACTTGTAGTACGTAAGTTCTACTGCTCTGCACCATAGTGTTTAAAGAAATTTCCGAGAATAAGGTTCCAAGAGTTCATATGCCTAATATGGCATATGACACCTCGCAGCCAGGTTATGTCATTCGTATTTTCTATGCTCAAAGAAGCGCCAACAAAATTTTCTTTGATCAACTTTACTGTGTTTTTTAGAGTAGTTCAACCGAAAATGGGAAAAAATAGACGCAAGAAACATCGAAGATCTTCATCCTCAAGTAGCCGAGCTAGCAGATCGCCGAAGCGACGAATGCTGGACCATCATAGGAACCGCTCTAGGAGCCATGAGGTTCAGGATTTCCATCAAGAAATCGCAGATATGCAAAAACGGCTAGATGAATTGAAGAGGTCCAGAAACGTTAAAAACGAAAATGTAGAACGTATGAGCCAAAATAGGAATGTCCGCGACTCCCGAAGTCCGGCATCCCATCATCTTTCAGTCCGAGACTCGAGAAGTCCGGCTACCCCTGAAAAAAGAGTCCGAGGCTCGAGAAGCCCGGCTCCATCTCAAATAATAAACCTGGTCGATAATGATCCACTGGATCAAGTACCCGAATGCTGGGGCGAAGATCCAGAGGTTGGTAAAATCAATTATTTTGATCTACACCCGCAACTCACAAAAAGGGTTAACTATATCGCATCAAATGGGCTGGATAAAGAGACACAAAACCAACTGGCCAATAAATACCCTTCCCCAAAAGGTGTCCATATTGGCCCCCCTATATTGAACCCAGAAGTGGTTGCCACTATGGGGCCAACGGGTTTGACCAAAGATAAATTTCAAATATCTTTTCAAGAAGAGAATGCTAAAGGCATCTCTAACCTTCTTTATGCAGTCAATAAATTAATCAATGACGGAAGGGAAGAGGTGCCCAAAGCCGAATACATTGAGTTACCGAGTGACACCACACGACACTACACAAATCTCCAGCACAAGCTTTCTCTCCAACGTAGGTCTTTTATCAACCAAAATTTAAATAAATTGGTTGTTGACCTCTCGGTGACAACACCTGTGGATACTTTTCTTTATGGAGAAAATTTGGGGGAACGAATTAAAACAGCAAAGGCTGCAGAAAAGGTGGCTAAAGTCTTAACAGTTGTAAAAAGTAATAGCACCTTTCAACAGAAAAAATCCCAGCATGGCCAGCATCATTTAAATGCATATGGCCCTTCGAGGAAGACGGGGGGAAATCCTCGACAGGGCCAGAGGGACTATCGCCCATCGAACCGCCCCCAGCATCAAGTTTTAGCAAGATCCAACCCGCGGAACTAACCAAACAAAACTTACTACAAAACACAGAGGAAAAGCAAGTAAAGGTGAGTAATTTTATACATCTTCCAGAAGTGGGTAGACTCTCTTATTTCACCAATGAATGGAAGGCTTTGGGGGTGTCAAAAATGGTCTTATCTTGGATCAAAGGTTTTGAAATACCTTTTGTAACACCCCCACAACAAAATTCCCTTAAAAAAGAGCCAACATTTTGTCTTTCTGAAAAACAATCTTTAAAAACTGAAATAGCTAAGCTATTAAATCAAGGCACGATAAAAGTCTGTACTCCTTGCGAAGGGCAGTTTTTGTCGCCTTATTTTCTAATAGATAAGCCAAATGGCAAAAAGAGATTCGTACTGAACTTGAAAAAACTTAATGAATTTCTACAACCTCCCCATTTCAAAATGGAGGATGGGAGAACAGTCTGCAAGTTACTGCAGAAAAATTATTTGCTGACAAAAATCGACTTAAAGGATGCTTATTTTGCAATCCCAATAAATCGAAATTCTAAAAAATACCTTAGATTTCAATTTGATAATCAGCTTTTTGAATTCCAAGTTTTGCCCTTTGGAATTTCATACGCCCCGTTTTTGTTTACAAAAATAATACGTCCAGTACTTGGCCATTTTAGGAACAAGGGCATTTTATGTGTGGCCTACATTGATGATTGGTTTTTAATTCATGATTCTCTAATCCTTGCAAATAAAAATACAAAATTTGTGGTGGAAACACTGCAGTCCTTAGGTTTTCTGATAAATTTTGAAAAGTGTTGCCTAGAACCGCACACCCGCTGTCTGTATCTAGGTTTTATTTATGATACAAAGAATATGATTATAAAACTTCCTGAAGACAAAATCATCAAAGTAAAAAAGTCATTATCGAAACTCAAAAGCAGTAAAGAGTGTAAAATAAGGTTTCTTGCCCATGTAGCAGGCATACTGATATCAATATGCCCGGCAGTAAAGTACGGGAAATTATACACAAAAACAATAGAGCACGAAAAATTCCTTGCATTAAAATTATCAGAGGGTGATTATGAATGTAAAACACTTATTTCTGGGGAACTTAAAATAGAGTTAACCTGGTGGGAAAAGAATCTACCATTTACTTATAGAGACATATGTCTAGAAACCCCTAATCTAGAAATATATACAGATGCTAGTAAAACTGGTTGGGGGGCAGTATGCAATGAGAAAGAGGTTTATGGGTGGTGGAATAGTAAGGAAGTCAATCTACATATCAATATCTTGGAGTTAAAAGCCGTTTATTTTGCGCTAAAATGTCTAGCAGGAGGACTTAAATCTACCACGATCCTCCTCAGAGTAGACAACACTACAGCAGTAGCGTGCATTAATAAAATGGGGAGTGTACAATATCAAGCCCTTAATGCCATAGCCAAAGACATATGGCAATGGTGTGAAAAAAGAAACGTATGGCTGATTGCATCTTACATCAAATCCAAAGACAATATTGCAGATAAACACTCTAGAATAATGTCTGAGGAAACTGAATGGGAACTGTCAAGTAAAGCATTTGAAAAGATTATTTCTGTTTTTGACCAACCACAAATTGATCTTTTCGCGTCTAGAGCTAATACAAAGTGTAGTAGATACGTTTCTTGGCATAATGATCCAGGCTGTGAAGCTATTGATGCTTTCACGTTATCATGGACTTCCCTGAAATTTTATGCGTTCCCCCCATTTTCTATGATACTCAAAGTGTTGAACAA